TTCGAGCTGCTCATAGGTTACACTTTTTTCTCTCTGTTTTTTTTTTTTTTTTTTAAATACAAGTTTAAGGTTATAATATTCCTTGGGGAAAAATAAATGTAACATTTTGACGAAATTTCTTTATAACTTTTTCTTATGTGAACACAGGGGCTGGAGAGTATACCTGCTGGATGAACATGGGACGACAAGAGAGGCTGTTGACCGAATGATCTGCATGTAATTTTTTTTTTTAATAAGTATCTATTTTTATTTCTTTTTCTGCCTGGTTTGATTGATGATGAATTCTTCTTGCGAAAAGATGTTTGTTGGCATCTTTAGATTGTAATCCAAAAAGGGTGTTCTTTGGAGTGAAAAACGGAGATTGAATTGGTTCATAAGTTTCACTTATCGTGGCATTTGAAAATGTTGGGACTGTACACATGAATTATGGGAACATAACTTGCTTAAAATCTCATTGCAGGGGCCTCAGTGAAACTGCTAGGCAAAACAAAAGCGATGCCTATGCCGCAATGGTATGAAAATCGCTTCGATTTATGCTCATTGCATATCGCACCTTTCTCGTTACGCTTTTGCTTATTATTCTCTTTCCATGGCTTTGGTGGTAGTAGATGGTGCTGGAGAGATATTTTTCCATGTCAGGCGAGGGAACTGAACTTGTACTGCCCAAGAATGTGGATCTACAAGAGAGACTTCGAAGGGGGCCTGCCAGGGACATCGATTTTTTCCCTGAAGAATGAGGACTGACTAACAATTTTCTGTGCGAGAAGAAACAAACTGTGAATTACTTGGGACAAGTCGATTATGTTGAGCGAACGAGTGGAAAAAAGTTATCAAATTGTAGGATTAAAACCTGTGGAATACATTGCTATATTTGCATATGCTTTTGGTCCTTGTGACATGTCGTACCAGCAGGTTAAGATAAGCACCATAGAGGGGAGATGCAGGATAAGCTCATGGATGAACCAATTCTGTATTGGTTTTGTTCCGTGGTAATTTGATTTAAAGAATAAATAAAATAAAATAAAATAATAGACTATTCATTTTCATCCAGGCAAACTCTATTATATTGCTTGGAGCCAATAAAATTGGCTCGACAAAAATTACACACACGCACCGACACACATTTAAGTATAAACACGAATATACAATCATGTGTCTGCGCTCGCGCACACATAATTAATATACAATTGTGACAATAGATACAACACTTTCTAGGGTTTGGGAAGCTATTCAGTAACAATTGTCTAAATAGGAGATTACTTGTACAATTCAGCAATATCAGAAACCCCGACCTCTCTGCCGTCTGAATCCATCCATGAGAGGAAGCTCTTGAACCACCACCCCCCAAGCTTGTTGGAAGTTGCATGTATATAAGAAAATCCAGCTCTATAATCTTTATTTGTTTAATGCTTTCCTCCTGAGCGTCGTTGAGTAGTCGCCGACGCTTCTTCGCTCTGCTTGGTTGTTGTGCGCTTTCGAATGGATTTACGAGCGGCATTTCCCTTTGAAAGTACCTGATTTTATCTCCTAAACCGCCTGCTGCTGAATGCATAATGGCTGTCATGGTGACCATGACTTATTTCCTTGCTCTTTGTCACCAATGTACCAAAACGACAACGATTCTCTATGCTAACGCATGGTCAAGGACGGGAATTCCGAATGCAAATGACTTTTTGTGTTTTCTTGCAAGTCAAGGCTCTGAGATGTTTTTCTTTAAAAATAAAAAAAAAATAAAAAAATAAAAAAATAAAAAAAAAACCTTAGGCATGATACGGAACACTGCACAAGCAACCTTAGTTCTGTTCACCAGAACCGTGCTGAAATTTCAAAACAAAAGAAAAGAAAAATTGTTTCTACGGTTCCGTTTACAAACACTCTGAAAGGAGAGAAAAGGGACACAAATAGAGTACCTCTTTACCTCCTTAGTTTAGCTCTACTTCCTAGCCTGCCTGGCCTACACCCTTCTCAAATATATTAGCATGTGTTACACACAAAGTATTCCTATGATAAATCAATATTTGGTATGATCTTTGGCAGCAATACTGCACAAGCAACCCTAGTTCTGTTCACCAGAACCGTGCTGAAATTTCAAAACAAAAGAAAAGAAAAATTGTTTCTACGGTTCCGTTTACAAACACTCAGAAAGGAGAGAAAATGGACACAAATAGAGTACCTCTTTACCTCCTTAGTTTAGCTCTACTTCCTAGCCTGCCTGGCCTACGCCCTTCTCAAATATATTAGCATGTGTTACACACAAAGTATTCCTATGATAAATCAATATTTGGTATGATCTTTGGCAGCAATCTACTCGATGGCCTTGGACACTTATCGTCATCATTTGAAAGAGAAGCAAGCTCGTTCTCCAAAATAGAATAGGCTTCTGAAAATGCCTACATTATGCATTAATATTCGATGTCAGAACAACTAGAACCGCAAAAATAACTTGAATAGATATTATTTATCGTCTAAGTATATTCTCTAATGATCATAACGGAAAACGTCAGCACAATTTCTTGCCATTGCTCTAAATTGAACAATGGAAAGAGAACAAATCCAACAAAGATCAGATGATTACCTTGATGCATTGATGAATCCTAAAGCAATTCCTACCAACATTATTAGTTGGAAAAAGCGGATCATCGATATGTATTGGATCAATGCTACAACATCAAGTACGTCAAGAGATAAAAGGTAAGAATGGGTAATATCTTAAATAATCCACTTATTAGAGAATAGGGACAGCAAAAGATAATAAACATTACCTTCTTTCCCTTTTTATATAAACTCCACTTCCCCGGACTGATATCCGCATTTGGCGCGGATCAAATACATTCCTGGAAAACATGCTTAAACGATAAAAAATATTGCTTAAGAAATACACAATAACTAAACAGCTCCCCAGAAAAAGTGGCAACTCATTAAATAAACATATATCTAATGCCAGCAAACTCACTTACCCAAAAAAGTAAAGAAAATCCATTAGTAGGCTTCCAAAGTTCTGAAGATAATTAATTCTTAAGTCAGACAAGCATTCAGAACACAAATAACATCAATGGAAAACATAAACAGGGATAAAAAGACTAAATTTGTATGTAGCACTTGTATACAACCGGGTCAAGCGAAATTCTATAGCACTAATTCAAAAGGAAACGCCATAATTTTCTCTCTCATTGCTGAAAGAGGTAGGAGAGGAGGTTTGAAATTGCTATAGGTTTAAGTAGAGACTGACACACAATAACTAAACAGCTCCCCAGAAAAAGTGGCAACTCATTAAATAAACATATATCTAATGCCAGCAAACTCACTTACCCAAAAAAGTAAAGAAAATCCATTAGTAGGCTTCCAAAGTTCTGAAGATAATTAATTCTTAAGTCAGACAAGCATTCAGAGCACAAATAACATCAATGGAAAACATAAACAGGGATAAAAGACTAAATTTGTATGTAGCACTTGTATACAACCGGGTCAAGCGAAATTCTATAGCACTAACTCAAAAGGAAACGCCATAATTTTCTCTCTCATTGCTGAAAGAGGTAGGAGAGGAGGTTTGAAATTGCTATAGGTTTAAGTAGTGACTGACACTCAACTAAAGTCCATGTACATGTTATTTGCTGTTGATGTA